GTCGGTGGCGGTGGCGGTGGCAAAGTACTAGACACCGTCAACGAAACTGTCGACACGATCCCACCGATCAAGGAAGAACAACACCAGCCAGGGGAGCAAGTGATTTCCAGCGAGGAATCGACAACAAAGCAACCGAAAAATCGGCTTTCGCACACCAACGAATCTCAACGAAACGTAACTAGAGGAGGAAGCGGCTCGCGCGCGGCTGCATCCTCACTCAGCTCCGGCAACACGCTTCTCAACCGTCGAGTTGCTAGTAAGCGATCGTCCAGGAGATGCAACGCGAACGCGCGTAGGAACGCGATGACGATGGATCTCCAGAGACTGATCACTGAGGTGCACGCTAGGCCCGCGATCTGGGACCAGAAGAACGTCAACTATCACAATCGCGATGTCATTCTAAAGATGTGGCGAGAGATCGCGAGGGCTTGCGAGGTCTCCAGTGAGTATACGCCTCGCTCTTCTCTCTCCTCTTTCCTCTTCCCATTTCGCTCTTCTCTCTTCTTTCCGCCTCTTCTATTTGCGCCTGCGTCGTTGTACGCCTCCCTTACTATGTCTCTCTCTCTCTCTCTCTCCCTCTCTCTCTCCCTCCCTCCCCCCTTACTCCCTCTCAATCTCTCTCTCTTCCCCTTTTGATCGCATCCCTTCCACTTTTTCTTTCCCTTCTACCGTCACATTTTCAACTGTTTCTACTCGTACCATTCCCTTCCCCACTACCACCTTCCTACGATTGTGTATTGTGTATGTCGTGTGTCCTTTTCATTCCTCGATCAAGCTATCGAATAACCGAGCGAACGACTCGATCAACTTGTGTGTATACGTACGTGTACACGATATAGTCGTGTCGAGATCAATTACAATCTGAACATATTAAATTTATTTGCTGGAAAACGGGCTACTTTCTAAGAGCGCGTACGGTCGATCGTTATTGCGTCGCCATTTCTATAATTTTTTAATTACAGTCAATGCCTACAATTTGTGGTAATATCGATAGCGAGCATGATTTTAATTACTGTTTACACAATATTCCGTCTGAGGTCGCGGTAATTTGAATCCATTGGATTCGTGGGCAAACGATTAAACGCTTGGAGCGCTACAAAATTTTATACTCGACGAAGCAATGTTTTCTTGGCCATTTATTTTTCATAAATTTTTCATTTTATCAATTGTCGTCTGTTATCAACGTAACAAAGCCATGCGAATGCGCACTATTCACGTAGGAAAGTTTCGAAAAATTTTTTATCGTAACAAAAGAATTAACGGAGAATCTTCGTTTCCAGCGGACGTCGCAAAATCAAAATGGAAGCACTTACGAGACAATTTCCGCAACGAATTAAAGAAAACTTATAGAGGAAAATGCGATGGTGGCGCTAATGAACATGACTCAAAATGGGTTTGGTTCAAGAGCCTGTTCTTCCTGCGAGATCAAATGAATTCAAGAGTAATCGGGTGCACTCTTTCGCAAAATTGCTCGGCGGCCCTTCGATCGTCGCCAGAAGAAACGCAAATCGAACCTCAGATCGATATTTTAGAAGGACACGAGGAAACTCAATTTGACGATTTAGATGGTGATTCTTGTCAATCTTTACTCTCGAACGACGATGGTCTTCATCAAGTTATGCCACCGCCTAAGATGAGTAAGATGAGTAAGATCGGAAAAAGATTCGAATCTCTGCAAAAGAGACTAAGGGTCTCGCAAGAAGAAGAAGGAGACGATACTTATCATTTTTTGATGAGTGTTCGAAATCCTCTCAAAAGCTTACCGCTCGATAGACAAATGTTTATTAGGTTGAAGATTCAAGAACTCGTCTACAATGAAATCAATTTACAAAATCAACAGAATCAAACGTACGAAGTCTCACAAGACGTAAAACCTCCAAGAACAAGAAATGCTAGCGGAACAGCTGGAATCGGAGTCGGACTAGGAGGTGGCGACGTTGGTCTCGCCGCACCCGTTGCAGTTGCCGATACAAATGGTGGCAGCAGTGGTGGTAGTGGTGTTGGTGGTGGTGGTGGTGTTGTTGGTGGTGGTGTTGGTGGTGGTGGCGGCGATATTGCTGCTGGATGCGTTGGAGGTGGATTAGGGGGAGGACAAACCGTTAACAACATGTCTAACCACCCTGCATCGTTACTTCACAATTGCACGACAGAGGGCTCCAGCAACAATGCCTTTTTCGGTTAATATAATTTACATTTTAAAATGTAAGAACCGTAATTTTATTAATAGAAAATAAACAATGGTATTTTTTCAGTACCTGTCCCAAACAATTATTTTCACTGCTAATATCGAAGTCGCAGTTTTTTTCTAATTCGTTGACTTTGTCGATTGATTTCAGGAACAATGTCTAGCGAAGTCCGCGGAATAAAAGAACGCGGTCGATGTGCTTTTTTATTTCTAGTCAAAATAATCACTACCATAGCTTGTTACTGCTCTGTAACTATTACTGCAGTCACTACTGCTCTTATCACTACTTCTACTGCTACTACAACTACTACTATTACTGCTACTGTTACTGTTACAGCTACTGTTACTGCTACTGCACTACTACTACCGTTATTATTATTCTCATCAATCTTATCGAACCAATTATGGCACACAGGTCAAATTGGTTATGCCGGTTAACCAACCGGTGCATTCTTCCACGAAACATCCTCGAAGTTATGGTTTTTTTGTTTCATCGATTGATTTAAGAATGGATCGAACATACAAAAGAATAATTTAACTTCCGCAAGAGCAGGTTCCTTTTAGATAAAAATAACTTTTGCGAGAAACATTTTTACTGACTCGAAAGCTAAGGTGTGTTTCTTGATTAACGACAGTAGTATAGTTTCGTCGCGTTTATTGTCAGGTCATATTACCAAGTGATACTTATCTCCTTCGCGCTCTATCATACCTATCGAACAATAAAAATTAAACATTACTCCAATTGAAATGTATAAAGTAGATTACAAAATAAAATGAAGGTAATTATTCAAAATAGGGACGATCTCACTAACAAGGATTGCCAGTCGCTTTATGGCGGCCGGTTAAAAAGATCTAAAACAAAACTATATAAAATACGATATGCAGTATCAGGGATATCTTTAAGTACATGTCTATCATACCAAGGATTCATGATTCTTCGCGTAAATATCCTTCTTCAAATTTTCATTGTCCAATTTTGCATTCATCGCTGTATCGATAACGCAGGGAGTGACATTGCGCTAGTAAAACGTTTTCCGCAAAATTTTAAATTTTAATCTTCGAATCAGCAAAAATCGTTCCCTCAAATGTTGTTTTTATCTAAAAAGAAGTTATTTTCAAAATTTCAATCAAATCGAAGCACGAAAGGTCTTAACCTTCGAATGGAAAATGAAGCTATCTGTAAAATTTCAATCAAATCGGGTGTGACAAACTGTCTGAGATACGGCCCTGATCTTAAATGTAGCTTCAGTATGCGTAATATTATACGCAGAGAAAAAGCACTACCGTTAACAAGAATGTGAGATAGGAATTGTAGACAAGGTTCGATAACGAGATACTCACATCACAGACTATGGAATATTCAATGGAACTGAAATATTCAACCTCTCGCTGGTAGTTTCGCGATTCGTTGTACGATCCCGATATAGTACGTTTTGCGACTATTCGAGGATTACGAACGAGTAAAAAATTACAATTTCTCAATCGCGGCGACGACTGCTACGAAATTCTTTCTATCACTTTCTCATCGAGTATACGTATAACACCTATGTATAGCATCCGAGCAAAAGAAATATTCTTTTCATTTCACGAATCTGCGTCATTGATGGAACGTATCGTAGTAATAGTAGAGCTTCCAGTACACAATATCTTTTTTCTTTCTGACATAACTTTACCCTCTATTGTCTGCCTTCGTATCGCTCTGTAGCTACGATGTACGCGTGACACAAAGCTTTTCACCGAGATACCGAGTTTAAAGCCCATTTTTCGAGTTTTCTCGTTAATCATCGGTAGTATTCTTTGTTCAGAACCAATTGGAATTTTTGTTACATTGTAAATTACGACGTCCCACATTTGTCAATTAATTGTCAATCGATCCCCTATTATGTTTTCCGCTTAATTCTTCGCTTGAAAAACTACACTAGTTTTATACTGTTTTCCATACGATTCGATCGGGACAAACTGTCACTCGATGTCATACAAACATTATAGAATACGTTCTTTCACAGGGAATGGTATTGTACTTCCCATACGTTGAGATAAAGTCGTTCGAATCGAGTTTGCACCAGTTCCTCGCGGTTGTTCACCGTTCAGTTGCGTTATTGGACATCGAAGAAACGACTCGTAGACGAGCCGGTTTTGAATACAGCTTTAATTAAACCAGGTTATTAGGTATAGCTCGCAGAGTATGGTCTGAAACGTTTTAGTCTTTGTTCGAGTAGAATTTATTAGACGACGACGTCGCGCCGCGGTGAGGAAAAAAGGGGAATGTTAGCTTATACGCGAACAATCGGTAAAGCGGCACCGCGTGGATAAAAAGCTTTTAGCTGTTTCGACTTGCGTCAGGAATCTGCCGATCGCTGCTTAACGAGCGAAAACAATCGGATAAAGAAGACCAATTGCTTACTTCAACATCTCGGTATTGCTTTTCCATACCGTTCGCCGTGCTTTCCATGGGAATCTCGCGAAATAACGAGGTAACTTTTCGTTTGTATAGAAAAGTCACGTCGTCTAGACGGGATACGCTATATTTGTACGGTATATTGCACTGGTTGAATAGCTTATTCGAAAGTCTGCTCTGCTTCGTAGTCTGCTCGGCGGACCACTCGGTTTTTCCATACAAAGAGGATTAGTATCGTCCTCTTTGTCTTTTTTTCTTTCTTTCTCATACTCGGTGTTCATCGTTTCGTTTATTTTTTTTTTTTTCACGGTGTTTCCCCTTCGTCTTCTTCTTTCCCAACAAACCATAAAGCCGCTTTCCCAAACAGTAGCAGCATCGCACACACTCATAACCTATCTGTCTCCTGTTTCTTGTCTATATACATATTCTGATGTGGGTTTCCTACATCGTATCAACCACTCAAACCAATCAAATTTTCAACCGTACGAAGCCTAACGAATACATTGCAATAATCAAAAATCAAATGTATAACAACGCGCGTTTTGTGCAATATTTTCGAACGTTAGAAGAAAGGTGCAAAGATTTGTTGGAAACGAGTTTATCGTATTCTCGAACGATATCCATTGCCAAACCGATAAACATTTTGAATTCGTTCGCGCGTATCTTCCTTCCGAGAATGTGTCGTCGTATCGTCTAGCTGAAAATTTGAATAAAAAGCACGTTTACATTGGAGTTGAAGCGATTCTTGGCAAACGACGCAGAGAACGAAAAGCGAGTGACTCGGTAACAGATTCGGTGACCGACAGAGGTTCTCTTTGATCACAAAGAAAAACGCAATCGCTTCCCTTTTTCGCTATCCCGACGTCTGCTCTCTTTCCTGTGTAATCGTTCGTCTTCCTTAATCGAAATCGCTTTGCATTCGATATCGTCTCTATACTGAGTTTTAAGAAACAAAATACTAAGGCCGCCATAAACACAAAATACGTATACATACATATGTATATACACATGCATATAGAATACACACGCATACACACACGCGTATAATTTTCATTTTTTCCCTTAAAAAGCAAAATACGCCAAGGTAATATTCAATGAAATAGAGTTGTTGCGTCGTATTTCGGAAGGGACTGGCAGTCGAAACTCTGAGTTCCATTTATTTTGATCTTGAACTAGACGCCGTCATAACAGCTTATATAAACAAAGTGTATTCAGTGCTGCGATCTATTATAGTTTGGGTACACGGCGGCGATTGCCAGCCTGGCCCTGCCCTGCCTTGCCCTGGCCTGGCCTGGCCTGGCCTGGCCTGGCCTGGCCTGGCATGGCCCTACCCTGCTCTGCCCTGCCCTGGCCTGGTCGACTCGGCCTGACCCGGCCCAACACACGCCACACTCGGAATAAACGCGCGAAAGCGACCGAGTGGAAGCCTACGATGAGTGAAACGAACCAACGCAACGCAGCGGTGCCAGTTTCGCCAGTGAGACTTTAGCTAGCGTCCGAACCACTGGTGCATTCCACCGGTACGATTTCTACTTGCACGCACGCTGCTGGCCGCAATTTTCAGCTGCCGCGTTCAATTTTCATCTACCAAGCATTCCGAAGAATAAATCAGCACAGGGGCACCGGTGAAAAATTCGTATACGAAGATAAGAAAGTACAAGTTGACGCGCGTGCGCGAAAAGTTAGGGACCGCCAGTCTCCGCTAAAATCTCTCCACACACAGATTCAAGCGTGTTGCGATTAAAGAAATTTGTCTGGTACCGGTAAATGATCCGTGATACGCGGTTCGGTGGTGAAAACACAACTTTTTGAAGAAATGGAAAAACAGCGAGCTCGTCGATGACTCGAAGTAAGTGGTACCGAACAAACATATGTACATGTAATTTTGGGTTATTCACGATGTGGATTCGCTCAACGATTACGAGAAGAACAGCGCTCGAGCTAATACGAATTAAGTCGCCTTATGTACTTACAGTGATTGGCAATCGCACGTTCGATCGATCGATCGAAATATGTAATTGCTGTCTCGAAAGAGATTTTCTTTGTAATTCTCGGAGTTATCGGCTAATTTCCAAATTATTTTTGTCTCAACGTAGTGCGTGGTATACATTTTCAGCGAATGGCGCGTTAGTAGTACTTGAAAAAAATAGATACTCTGGAAAACAGGTACCGGTAAATTTATTCTAAGAGATACGAAAATAGGAAGGGAAAAGGCAAGCGAATCGCATCGTTCGAAGCATATCCAAATGCAAGCCCTTAAATGTTTCGACACTGGTGTACTAACGTGCGTGGCGTTCGGACAATGTATCGCTTTCTGGACTGTAACTTATGTCAATTGATGACATATTCGGTGTAAATACATCGCGTCTGCGTTACATTTCGAGAGAAACGTTAATTTAGAGACAGGGTTCTGACTTGACGCTCACCACCGACACCTCCCATCTAAATCTCCCTTTCTCGAAATCGTACAACGATTTGTATATCAATGATTTCGTTTTCTCGTGTTATCTGTAAGCGAAAGTACGTCTTTCGTGTTTAAACATCGTTGCCTTTCTCCTTTTATAATATCCTCTTACTCGCGCCCCGCCTCTCCGTTCTCTTCATTCCTCCTCTCTTCTCTTTCTTCCTATGACTTCCAACGAGTCTCTTGCTCGTTTTTTCTCTCAATCTTTTACCTCAACTTATCTTTCAAAACACGTTTTGCACGAAGAAATGCGTCAAGCTAGAATCGTCGAACTCAAAATGGAAATTATTCGGTATAATCTATAGCTTGATTAGGCCGGTATTCCATAACTAACAAACAAATAAATAAATAAATAAGTAACGACGAAGGAGACTTGTCGCGAGAATCGAGATGACGGGGAATCGAGTGACGAACGAATTGGCCACTAGTACCTTATAAGGCGCGAAGGTTCGCACATAGCGGCAGCGCTATCGTCCTCCGATCTGGCGAAACCGGCCTTCGGCCGTGTTTGCTTCTCGGATTTCGCAATTTCGATTTTCTAGAGATACTTTCCGCGATCTCGAAACTGTAACCAATTCCGCGAGACTATGCAGCGTGGTTTGCACGTGCGCGCTCGCTAGTTTCGCGATAAAACAGATAGATTTGCCACGAGATTTATTTAAGTGATAATGTCTGGAGGCAAGCGTCGAACGGTAACCTTTCGTCAACAATTAACGCGTACGAAGCACTAAGAACGCGAGTGGTACACGTCGAGGCGTGGCGGTGCATAAACTGTCGCACTCGACCAGCTCGTGAAACGTGTTTGCGCGGTCACGTTGGCAACACTAGCAGGAAATAGCTTTCATTGGACGCAGACAGAGACCCATCGAGTCGGTTCGCCTTCACCCTGCTCCGCAACACCTCGCCACGGTTCCTCTTGTCACGCTTCGCGTTTGCGCAAACCTTCTCGAACCTGCTAAAACACAAAGCGCTTCAAGTACGACTGGATCCGTGCGAATTTCAAGCTTTCTACTATTTGAAAATTCGTCGTGAACGGTTACACGATTGCGAGAATACCACGTGATTACGCGCAACGACTGTCAAACGTTCTCTAGTGCGAACACGTTGCGTGCAGTGCACTGATTCCAGTCGAATCGTACACTTCGATCGAAACCTTGTCCTCGCTTCTCTCTCTCTCTCTCTCTCTCTCTCTCTCTCTCTCTCTCCCGAAGAATCAGTTCGTAAAGAAGAACTTAACGCAAAAGTAGAAAGAATTAAAGAAGGGATAGTTATTTGATCGATGTAATTCGAAGGGAAATAGAAGAAAAAAAGAAGAAGGAAAGGAGTATAAAGAAAAAACTGCTGCGTTGAAAACGAATGTGAGTAATTATGAAAGAGTGGCGTCGAGCGCTTGTCGTGGTAGGGCCTCTTGTACAAGCACGAGCAAACCTCTGATCGCTGGAGGGAGAAAGATCTGGTCGGCAACAAGGTGGTTTGTGCAAACGCGTAGGTACGCGTTTCCAAAGGCAGGCATACGATCGACATCTGACTACCATCTGACGATCGTCCGTTCGAGAAGCGGCCTGTGGACTCGTGTGGACTGGTGGCCCCTCAGTCGAACGTCGAGCGCGGTCATCCACGCTACGTTTATCTTACTTGTGCTCGCGTTCGTCGTTCGATCGTAAGTCAACCGCGTGGCGAGAAGATCGCGTTACGTTCTTTCAAAGACCGTACACCTATATAAAAACACGGAATTTCGTAAGTGCATGAATTGATGGAAAAGCCGAAGCTCGATTTCTGATCGACTTCCTTGGGAATCGTATCCGCGCGAACCAAGCAACATGTCGGATTTGGTCGGATACTCGCATGATTTTCTCGCGGAATTCATTCACCTCTACCGTAGTTTCCGCTGCTTGTGGCAGGTCAGGTATAGGGGATACAAGGACAGGATACTTCGAAATCGTGCTTATGACGCTCTCGTGCAAAAATTGAGGGAGGTTAATCCGATCGCGGATAAAGAGACTGTCATACGAAAAATCAACACGCTTAGAACCGCGTTCAGAAGGGAATACAAAAAGGTGCGCAATTCGCAAAAGATGGTCCAGAATCCTCGACTACGATACAGATCTTCGTTATGGTACTACGATATTTTAAAGTTCGTAGCGGAACAAAACGAAACGAGTCCACTAGATGAAGAGAGAGACTTTAAGAATGCTTTGGCTAACCCAACGGATCTCTCTCAAGAGGAGATGATGGTACGACCTCGTGCAATTTTTCTCGAGTTACCGAGACTGCGCAAATCGAGACTCTCGCACTCTCTCGCTTTCGCTCTCCCTTTCCCCTTAAAACCGTCCCTTCTCTTCCCCTCCCTTTCGTTGTTATCTATACTCATTTGCACTCTACTTTTACTTCTGTATTCTTAAACGAACACGCAAGCTTTTGGTATTTCAATTTTTTGAAAAATCGAATTTGTCGTTCGTGAACGAGTAATCGAAGGCGTCAAGTTGCGTTTCGTTCTGTAACGTCGTGGTACATCACGTCGTGGTAGCGAGTACGGTGAGAACGAGAAGATAAATATTTCGCGAGCAATACGATACGAGCAACAAGCTCGTTTCTTCCTCTTCTTATCCTTTCTTCCCTGCCATTTTTAGTCTCGCTTTTAATTTCTTTTTAACCTTCGCTCTATCTATTTCTCTTGCTCTTTACGGGACTTTATCGATCGGAAAACTCGACGAGCGTTACGATACGCTGAGAATTACGTTTTAATCAAAAAGAAAGTCGAAACGTTGGTTTGTTCGTCCATATATTCGTATATTTAAAACGCTCTTGCACGAATACTTCGTGCGAAAGATTATGCAAGTTGGAAAGCATTTTTATTTCATTGAGAGCAAACTCGACACGACGCGATACGACCCGATACGATACGACACGATACGACGCGATACGATAAGATAGAACCTAACAACGCGATACGATAAGGCGGAACGTAACAACGCGAGTCAGTGCAACGACGTATCGAATGGTTCGTTCGGACGTTGGACTCTGTTTGTATCGCGTTCGTTCGTTCGTTCGTTCGTTCGTTCGTTCGTTCGTTCGTTCGTTCGTTCGTTGATCGTTATACACATACGCGTACTTTGATCGATACACCATAGTCCATATCGCTAGCATTGAATTACAGTTGGCAACGTAACTGTTTTCTAGTCTGTGCAAACGGACGTAGACAAGATCGAGCCACCGTCACCTGTACCGTCCCCGGCAGCTAGCTCTGCTCCGGCGTTTCAACCGATCATCCTTGAAACCGAGGGCTCGTACGCCAGAAGAATTTCCACCTCCGCATCGGCCGATCCTCTCAGAAGGAAATGTCATCAACAACCGGAAAGCTTTCAAGATCGTCAGCCGAAGGACTCGACGTGTGAAATCTCTCCGAGACAGTTTGCCAGTTCCGTAACTGACGACCATTTCGAGACGTTTGGTCGTTATGTGGCTGGCAAATTGAGGAAATCGATGCCTCGTCAAAGTATTATCGCCGAGAAAGTAATCGCGGAGGTCCTCTTGAGAGCTAATCTCGGCACCTTGGAAGAAGCTACCTGCCTTACGGAAAAAGTACCTTCTCGTTGCTTCTTAGTAATGGGCGATCGTTGAATATCACCGATCCATCACCGGCGTCCGTTTCTCCCTCATTTGTTCTCTCCAACAGTCGCCAATGTTTTGCGTTCGTTTACGCCGTTCATCCCCTGTCTTTCCGTTAAGCAGCATACCCGGTCGCATCTTTGATCCAAACCGACGCGCGCGTTTGTATCCAATGGTCAGGGAAGAACAGCGAACCATCGGCTGCCGGTCGAACAAAACACAACCTCGACAAATTTGCTCGCGAGAATGGCAGACAGGTCGCATCGCAGACGAGTCAATTCTGGCAGCCAGCCAATCAAACAAGACCTTTTGTTTTCCTACGCGTGAAAAACCCAGTGCACCACGATACATACGTATTTTTCATACGAATAAACCAGTTTCTTTGTAAGCAGATGACAACGATTTCTATTTTTTTCTTCTGTTTTCCACTCGAGATCAATCCACGATTCCATAATTATTCGTTTTATAGCAACATTTATATCCTAATTACGACTAGTCTCTTGACACACCTTTTCCAGGAATTTGCTATTTCGTTTTCGCTTTCCCACAGCGAATCCATCCCGATGAATTCCATCGCCCAACTTTGATCCAAGTCGCTTTAAACTTTTGCAATGAAAGCTTCGTGTAATCGGTCAGTCAGTTGTGTTACATCCGAACCAGGTATCATCGAAGTTCTCTTGCCGATACGATGATTTAAGCTTAGACGAGATAGTAGTATCTTAGATCTTAGATTACCTAGCCACGTTGCATTAAACCGATCGCATAGGAAAATGACATTATCGAGACGTTATAATTATCGCTCGAAACGCAATTACCCTTTGTGATTCAAGGTTAGCCTATTCAATAACAATAAATTGTTTAAGAAATTTTTTATGTATCATGTTCTGTGTATTGAAATAAAAAGTTAACGGTTGACGAGGTGGCCGAGTGGTTAAGGCGTTGGACTGCTAATCCAATGTGCTCTGCACGCGTGCTCTGCACGCGTGGGTGTGCTCTGCACGCGTGGGTTCGAATCCCATCCTCGTCGGTGTTTTTCGTACCTTTTTCCTTTTTTTGTTTTCCCTGTGTTTAATATTTTTTTCCGATTATCCGAGTATCTACCACTTTTCATTGTCATCGATAAATACGTTTGAATCAAGGAAAAAATTAAATTTGCTTAAAAATTAGTATAAAAGAAAAGATCGAATAAAAATTTTGCTGCACAAAGAGAGAAAGATGGCGGTAGGTTAATATACATACATACATATATGGATATAATAACTTTAAAAGTAAAGTATAAGAATAAATGTTGGGATTCTGAAGGTTTCTGCCTAAACTTGAATTGCATGGTTAACGTGGTTGCGTGGAACACCATAGATCATAACCAAAACAGTAGAAAATTATGCGTGTTCGTCATTAATGTTCTCGACAGGATCTTACCTGAAAGTGGATGGTATGTTTGGTCAAACAAGATTTTCGACCTAAGTTGCGTTGCGTTTAAAAAGGCGCATATCAGATGCGTTTCAGGGTTTAGAGAAGTTGCCCTACGTTGAGCATTAACTTTCGAGCATTAACCAACAAGATCTTAAGAGACACACCAGAGATATAGCCAACTTTAGTTTGTTCTCGGATAAAACCTTAGAAAGCCTCGTAAAACAAGAAAATTGCTCTAAAAGTTTCAGGCGTTTACGTTACAGCACATTATCGTTATACATATATCGAGAAATTACGAAAACCTTTTTAGTGTAAAACGCGAAGTAAGTTATCGCCAATACTTGATCTCATCAAATAAACGATAGTGTTACGCAAAAATTTGCAACTTATTCCGTAACCCACGTTTCGTATCTATTACGAAAGAATCGAGCGTCGACAGCATCGTCGACGAGTATCGAAAAAATTTATTTATTAGTTAGGCAATTTTATTAGTACGTAATACATGTAGTTTGCTATATCAAAGATCGCAAAAAATTATAGCCCGGCTAGCTCAGTCGGTAGAGCATGAGACTCTTAATCTCAGGGTCGTGGGTTCGAGCCCCACGTTGGGCGGAGTGTTATTTTTTGTTGCTGTATCGGCAAGATTTGCGTATTAAAAAATACGTTGCTTTTTTTTTAAATTATGTAGATCCATTTTTTTCGCTTTGATATCAAATAAGTTCAAAAATAATGGAACAAGGAGGAAGGAAAGAAGACGGTACTAGGGGATGATTTTCAGTACCGTTTGCTTCGTCTGTTCGAAAATGGTATAGATTTAGCTCAGCAATTTTTCGGAGGAAGTACCATACAAAAAAATTATACTTGTTCGATGCTTGGTACCATATACGTACAATATTCATGGTCATTTATAAAGTCCTTGCTCGAAAGGACTCGATGTGACAAAAGAGAAATTCGCCCCCGGGTGGGCTCGAACCACCAACCTTTCGGTTAACAGCCGAACGCGCTAGCCGATTGCGCCACGGAGGCAACTTGTTTCGTCGTTTCTAATATATCGTAGCTGTGTTAAATGTATCAAATTACAAGTAGTGGAACTGATAACGATGAATAGAAGCATAATCTACATCCATGCGATAATAATACAATGTATAGGATAGGATAGAAGAAACATCTAATCGTGGAAAAAGTCGATATACTCGAACCTGGGAACGCGCGTTTCTTTTCGTATTCCACCTAATTAGGTGATACATACTCGGAAGTAGAATGCCAGCAATTTGGTGGCGCGTGCACCTAAAGGTTGCACACGCAAGTACGTATCTAAGCCTGCTCGAGATAGCAGCAGAATCTCACGGTGAATTAGGTCGGCGCGATGCTCGTTTAAATGAATTTGAGTGGTTGGACGAATAACGTGTGTGTCGGTGAAAGGACTGCGTACACACACCGCTTAGCCGAAAGCAAGATACGCGAAAGGAAAGCTGTTCGGGTGACTGCTCGGTGGAGAAAAGAACAATCGCGGAGGCTGTGACTGGGTGTTTCGTAGCGGGAACCTTGAAGCGAGTTCGAGGGTGTTGCCAGAACGACGAAGGGTGTTTGCGGAAGGTTCGTTGGGAACGCAACGAGCGAATTCTCGTAAAGGGCTCGTTATCCTTTCCCGTTAGTTTCGGTAACGGGCCGCGTCTACTCGGATCAAGCGAAAAGAGTCGATCGCGAAGCCAAGCACAGGCAACAGAGGCGGAGGACGACGATAGCCCTTCGTGCCTTGTCAACGAGCCATTAATTGTAGCTCGCGCGAGCTTATGCCATAGACTGTAGGCAATCTTTCTTTGCACTGTTCCCGCGGTTCTGCCTCAAATTATCTTTCCCATTCTTCGTTTTCTATTTCTATTTCTCCTTCTTTCTCTTTTTATTATGCACGGAATCAAATAAGTTGTCTGGATTCTTCGCTGGAAATTTTCTGGCGAAACGTAATTGTGCCAAATGGAATTCCGAATCGCGTTCGATCATTACGTTACGCTCGAGCTTAATCGAGTCGTTCCTACTCCTTGCGCTCCTTTGTCCCCGTGGTGCAAGCGGGAAGAGGTAGCGAAGAAGGTAGCACACCAATTTCGAAGCTCGGCTGCGTAACACGTGTCAATCGTCGATGGGCGATGAGATCGTCGAGTCGAATCGAGTGAAGTCGAGAGGATCCTCGGACGCGACAAGATCGATATTTATCCTGGCAAAAATCCAGGCTCGAAACAGTGCCAACTCGTATACGGATAATATCGCATCCCTCTGGTGAGATACCTACGTAATTATCGTCTCGACGAATTCACGTTTGTGCCCCCAATTTCCTTTCTTTTTTTTCGTTTTTTTTTTTTCTCGCTGGCAAAAGATTAAAAAGGGAGATTCGGGAGCGAGGGTGTAGAGTAAAATTGACGCGAGGCAACATTCCAACATTTGGCGTCGAAGGCAGACAGTTTCGGATTTAGTCGAATGGGAAAGTCGAGCATGTAAATGCGAGAAAGCTAGGGGCAGGCATTCGACCGAGCAATCGATAATCTTCCTTTTTGTTCGCGATGCAACCCCGAAAGGTATTCATTTGGCGGTATAAAAGCCGAAGGTTTCGATACTTTGAGACGGTTCGACGTCGCTTTGTCGAAAGCCACGAAGAGCCACAAACAATAGGAGGCACAAAGTCGAAAAGGTCGCTAAATGATAATTCAAACTAAATGGTTCCTTCTCATTAAACCGAAGAAGATAAGAAGAAGGAAACAGTTATTCCATGCCGAGAATCGCGCAGCATCGATCCTACATCGAAAATACATCGTAAAATCGAAAGAGATCGTTGTCGTGTCTTTTCTACGGTAATGCTCGGCGAAATGAGAGCGGGAATTCTCCAAAGTCCCCTCGATTGGATCTGGCTACCCTACCTTGTCGAAGGGTGTCGTCCCGTTTAGCCACTGTTGCACAGGGACGTACGCTCGTCGTTCATTAGTCCTGCTCGTATAGCATACATTATATATATACTACGTAATCGTGTCAACGCTGTAACATCGATTTATTTAAGATCGTGCGTTTTCCCGTAGATGGTATCGTGAACACGCAAAGGGACAGCTATGTATGTATGTATGTAGAATAATGTACATCGTCGGACATCGAACTCGATAGAGTCGTCTAGGTTTGTCAGCTGTCGAGAATGCCAAAGCGGCAAGAATTGGTCGGTTTCTGTCGGTCGCGAGAGCGAGAGGCGCACGAAATCAGGTAGGATTCGAAAGACGGTTCGTGCTCTCTAGTTCGTGTCGATATTCCGAGTGAG